GTTCCTTGTTTCCAGTCAGCAATCATCATGTAACCTCGAACTATTTTTGTGTGTTGCAGATACCGATACGACGCAGATTCTTCACCTGTCAGGTAATAAACGTTATTTCATCTGCAAAGTTTGTCTCTTTCGTTGTGGGTAGTTGTCTAAATGATCACTGAATTTGGTGTTTCGTAAACTAGGGAGCTTAAAGTTCGTGCACATAAGGATTCTTGCAGAGCTGTTCGGTTCATCGATGGTGGCCAAAGTTTGTCGCTTTAACTTTGAACAATTTGAGCTCATATCCGAACAATTTAGTTCTCTGCTTTACATTTATATGCTTCTTCCTTTTTTTTATTGGTTATAGGAATCATCACAGCTTCAGCTGATCGCTCTATTCTAGCGACCGATGTAGAAACTGGTGCTCTTGTTGCACATCTTGAGAATGCTCACGAGTATTCAAATTCTCCTCTTTTCTTTTTAAAATTGAATACACTTTTAGTTGTGTGGTAGTTTTATAGTGATTCTTGCATTTGTCTTCTAGGGATGCTGTTAACACTTTGATCAATGTTACCGAGACAACCATCGCTTCAGGAGATGATAAAGGCTGCGTTAAGGTCTGTACAAAAAAAATTATCTTATTGTCAAATTGTCAAGCCACTACAATACAATTTACACTGCTGATATCTATACAAAAATTTTGAGTAGGAATTAGGATCCGTGTTCCTTAGTATTTCTAGATGTGTGTGTGTGTGTACTTTCTGGCTTAAGAACATATTATCTCCCTGTCAACAGTTTCTTGTCCAATTTTCTTTCGTGGGGCCATGACTCTTTTGGAGTGAAATTATGTGTTTATGTTCGTCTGTTCAGGTTTGGGATACGAGACAGCGCTCATGCTCTCACGAATTCAATGCACACGAGGATTACATTTCTGACATGACCTTTGCATCTGATTCAATGAAGCTAGTGGCAACAAGGTTTGGATTTTTGTAATCACCTGATATAGTAAAGCTAGTGCCTTTTGAGTTTCCATAAAAGACTTTATCGCTTATTTCCTTTAATTTGGTTTCTTTGGCACTGTTTAGTGGAGATGGGACTCTGTCTGTCTGTAATCTCAGATCGAACAAGGTCCAATCTCAGTCTGAGTTTTCTGAAGACGAACTACTTTCTGTTGTTATAATGAAGGTAAGTGTATTATATGCCTACATGATTATTCATTAATTCATCTATCAAATAATTATTTTGAATATGTGATTTCAAGCTCTTCTGTCTCCACATTCCTTATCTAATGTGTATATTATTGTTTGCTCTTACCTGATTGATTTCAGAATGGCCGTAAAGTTATCTGTGGAACTCAGAATGGTACTCTCTTGTTGTATTCATGGGGATTTTTCAAGGATTGTAGGCAAGTCGTATATCTCTAACACTAGCTATGATAATGGTTTAAGGCCTTGGGAAAATGTATCTACCGACTCATAACTGTCTGAAACGTTTTTCCTATCTACAGCGATCGGTTTGTTGATCTAGCTCCAAATTCAGTTGATACTCTATTAAAGGTCCGATGATAGATATTGTTTTAAGATACGGTTACTGTAACATTAGGGCGATTTTGGCTAATGGAAGTCTTGTGTGGATTCTGTAGCTTGATGAGGACAGAGTTATCACTGGATGTGATAATGGAATACTTAGGTAACGAAAATAAATGTGCTTACGTAGGAGAAGGCTTTTTGCTGTTTTTCTTCAATCAAATAACTCAAAATTGATTTACGTATTTTCGCCAGCCTTGTTGGAATACTGCCCAACAGAATAATACAGCCAATTGGAGCTCATGAGTTCCCTATCGAAGATCTCGGTATTTTATAATTCCCCTCTGTTTATCCAACAACATTTTGCTGATCTTTATCAACTATATACTCCGTCAAGAACGAATTTCTGAACTTTTTCTGTTTCAAATCTCTCTTGTAGCTCTCTCGCATGATAACAAGTTTCTTGGTAGCACAGGTCATGACAGTATGCTGAAGGTATCATCTCTTGACTCTAAACACACATCCTCATGGTTAAGTTTTACATAAAAGGTTTCCTGATTTACTTCTTTTAATTGTTCCCGGCAATGAAGTTGTGGGACCTAGAAGGGATTCTAGAAAGTTCCAATGGCAATTCGGGGAATGCATCTGGAGCTGCTGGAGACAGTGATAGCGAAAACGATGGGATGGACCTTGACGATGATCTTCCCAAGTCTTCCAAAGGTATAGAGAATCCTGCAAAAATTGCTGGACATTTGAAAGATTTTCATGAGAGATTATAATCCCAAGTCTACAATATGATTTGATCTCGATTCTTTTGCTTGTACAGGATCGAAGAGGAAAACGAAAAGTAAATCGACTCCTTTGAACTCTACAGCTAGTTTCTTCGCCGACTTGTAGATTTTGTTTCAGATTCGTCTACTTGATCCTGACAGTTTTGTTGTCCGACATCATCTTTTCTCACTGCTCTGTTTACCATTACGATTATTGTTCATCACCAATCGAACATATTACATATCTATATCAATTTCCCATTCAAATCATATAGAAATTGGCATTGAAAATTGTCTTCTTTCATATGATCAAAACAAAACTCATTTTGTATACGTTCTGAGAGCTAATGGGTATACAAAGGGATACAAATCTTAAACTAATAAAAGGATCAACCAATTTGATAAGCGAGGCATTAAGGGCCTGAAAGAACCAACTTTTTTGGAACTATATATATTCATGTGATGCTTTTTCTGACTGGTTTAAGCGATTGCCGACTTTATTGTCTCGGTCTCTGTTGGACGCCACAATGACTTCTGCACCGAAAGCAAGCTCTCATTATCTTTAGACTGTGTCATTTTTACCTTCCAATTCATGGATTTCACCATTTTCCCAACCTCCCCTATTGTTTCCACATCGTCCCTAATGATTAATGTTCCCTGTGGCCTAAGAATCCGATCAATTTCAGCCATTACCGACACCAAATTGCACCTGTAAGGCAAAAGAAGAAAAAGGGTTTGATTCATCACATCAGACCAGGTCATCAAGCTCTGCATTGGAGAATAGATGAGAAGAGGTGATGTTATCTACCTTTTTCTCAGGGTAGAGAAAAAATGATCGGCATGGAGAAGGTCGTAAGTTCTGGGATAAGTGTTGAATGACTCACACCAGTCATGATATATTCCAAATAAACCACGTTCATAAATGATCGGAAGTGTATCTGGTGCGTCCACAGGAACCACATTCATCACCCACAATTTTAGATCCGTCAACGCAGCAGCAAATCCACCATAGACTGCTCYCATGTCCATCACATTTCTCACATTAGACCAATCGATTCCCATGCCATTAAGGTATGACTTTGAAACAATAGTTTTCCATTTCTCTTGGTCCGATCTGAAATCCTCTAGTGCAGGTTTTCCGTAAACACCTTCCTGTGAAATCAACCACTCAGGTGCAGTCTCAAGCCTTTCTGGCCACATATTCGGCCACACTGCTCCTCGCTTCGATGAATCTTCTGTCACTTTATGCATACATGCCTCAAGTGGAACATTCCTAAACCGTAAATTAAACATATGAGCATCAGATTGCATTGGTTTACAAGTAAATTAACGCAGGGTTTAGGTCACTCTACCAAGCTGCGTTTTGATCATCGGAATCCTTACAGAGAGGTGGATCGTTTTGAGGTCTTTTGTTGTAACATTTATTTGAAGTTGGCTTTTGGTATATGGCAGCACCAACCTCATTCAATTTGTCTTTTTTAATTGTCACCAGCTTCCAGCACATTGCTTTTGTGAGCTTCGACATTGCTACAACACAAAGAAGGTCTCTCCAAAGTTAGAAATCAATTTCCAAAGCCTATTTTGAGGC